ATTTGCTTTGTGAATGCTGTCTCATCCGTAAAGACCTGGGAAATAATAAAAGTTGAATCAATCAAGTGGAACAGAGCAAAATGGTCTTTACATAAATAGGAAATTAATTCTGGTATTCTACAAGGAGAAAGAGGACAATAAAGAAGAAAGGAAAGAAATATTGAAGTATGCAGACAAGATAATCTGAGTAGTATATTAATTTTTATTGAAAGGATGGTAGGAAAAATGTGTTTTAGCAAAGCAACATTCCTGTTGCAGAATGTTAGTTTTGCATGGAGTTACATAAATTTATATAGGTCTTATCAAATGCATAAAAGGACAGGTCAAAACAAACTGTGGAATTCAGAAAAGTATGAAACTATTGTGATATTTCCAAGGACTAAATGCACAGCTGCTGTTAGAAGGCACAACTCCATCTAGTTGTGTGTGTGCAGTACAATATTCTGTTGCTGGAAAAAAGAGCCTTGTGTATAATCTTTGGTTGGACTCATAGCAAACGTTAACATTTTAACACCGCTGACTCAAAAGGCAGTATTTTATATCTGTTCAGTGTTCATATTAAGTGAAATACAAATGGGATGAGGTTTGTGCTACCTCATTATTTTCCATACAACAATTCTGAAATTTCTAAGCAACATGAGATTCGGTTTACTTATGGATTTCCCAGTAGTCACCATGACCGGCTGAATAAAGAAACGTGAATTATTTTTGCAATTAGGCTCTGACTCTGAGGCAAATAATCACCGTTGTTAAAGTGCGTTACATATGACCTGCAGCTGTTTGATCTGGTGCTCTAATCCTCTCAGCTCTTCTAAATTAAACAAAGGTGGGTGTATCAATAGTGAGACGCTTTCGCTCCAAGGGAAGAACAGCATGTGCAAGTCAGGAGGTACAACTGCCTTTTGTATCATTACTAAATACATGTCCCTGCACACTGCACTGCAGTGATCATCTGAAAGGAGGAGCTCTGTGTATCTGGGACCTTTGAGGCTATACCACTACCATGTCACTGATGGTATGTCACTTCTCTCTGTGCATCGTGGGCCTTTCCCCATGCTTACCCCTATCCTAAAATGGCTTGATACTAGTGAAATAAAAGAAAGATGCACTATACTTTTCCTTGCCTCATTTGTGTAGCCTGTTCCTGGTTGCACATCCTTTGTACTCACAGCTGATGGGAAGTCACCAGGCTGTATAGCACCTGCATAAATCCCAGGAGGAGAGGACAGAAGGCTGGGACCCTGAATCTGAATGTGCAGAGAGGCAAGCCTAAAAGCAGTGTGCTAGTGGAGCTGATTTTTTGGGGGTGTAAGATGGACATATATATATATGACACTTTGGGGGGAAAAGAAACCCAAAACCCAACCCCAAAACCAATTTGGCCTGTCATCCTGTCCCAGTTCTATTTCACATCACTATATGGTACCTAACTTAATCCTGCCATCTATGAAATGGGTCTGGTGCCCCTTAGTTTCTAGTCTAAATTTACTCTTGTCTACTGATGCGAACTGATGAACAGCTGCTGCATTTCACTGGTGTGTGAATGAAATCACCTATTTCCCTGTCTCCCCCAGCAATGCATTTTTGGAACTTACAAAGGTAATAGTGTCTGCAGAGCACTTTTTAAGCCTTGCACAAAAGGCACGACAACTATGCAAAGAACTACTGTCAATATTAGTGAATCACATCAGCCATGAAGGGAAAGCAGGTTTCCGTTTTAGAACAACAAACAAACCACAGCAGTATTTACTGAGCACTTTAAAGATAACAGCAGCTGCATAAATACTAAGAATTATTAAGGTTTTTCTGTGAAAAGGTTAAGTGCATGGTGAGAAATGGTATTGCAACTTTTGAGCCCATCTACAGGTAGAATAAGCACCTTTTGTTACAAGGAACCCAAAACTAAACCCAGCCCTCTCTCCAAAGGCTCTGAGATTAAACAGATGCTCCCAACAGGAAGGTTTCCATGCCTAAAAATCCCGTGTTGGCTGAATAGTGTCTTTGCTGAAGCCAGATTCAGCTTTAGGCTGAATGGGACAGAGAAAGACTTCACTGCCCCACACAGACTGTGTGCTGTATCAGCCAGCAGGGAGGGAGCTACAAGACTCCTCCCTTCAACCTGCACTAGCCTCACATTTCAAATTTTGTTTAGAAATTGTAAAAGCCAGTTATAGCCCAACATCACTCAAAAAAGAGGACCTGGTAACCGCATCCTCTCAGAAGAAGGTCAGCAGATGCTCTGAATGGGACACGGCATCCCAGGTGTTCTTTGCCTCTTCCATGAGAACCCCAGCTGTGGTGGCCAGTCACGGAGACAGCTGTACACAGCAGTTGGAAAGTCCTACTGTAAATGGTGGGGAGCAGCCGTGCATTTTCCCGTGGACAGGCATAGTTCAAGAAGAAGGTCTTTGCTGAGTAGCTGCCCCCTTTGGGGTGAGATCACTCTCACAAGGAAATACGCCCGGCAGAAAGGAGAGGCCACCTGCAGACACTGGACATCTGCATGTTGTTTGTCTCAGCTTGCTTACTTCAGCTGTCATGGGACCACTGTTGTCTTTCCCTGTCCTCTCTCCTATGCTCTGCCATCAGGAAAAAATAGGAGACCCTCACCAACAGCAGGTGCTTCCACATTTTTTAGGAAGACTGCTTGATCATTACAGCCTGTCTGATATTGAGAGTATTTATTGGTCACCCAGCATGACTACTGAAGATCTTCTAATGATTATTCTCCTCCTCTACACCTGTGAAGGGGCTTTTCATCTTAAAAGTGTGGTTGTTCCCAGCTGTTGATCTGAAGAAACTTTAAGTGAATACCGAGGCCAGGCTGCCTAGAGTCCCTCTATCTTTCTCCAAGACAGTATGTTCATCTTCAGCTCACTGGAGGCTCCAAATAAACCTATCCTCTCCAGCGTTGCTTGTTAAAGAAGTTAGAGTCCAGTCCCATGTAACGCTGTGCAACTTCAGTTCCCAATAAGGCTCTTGAGATTTCTGCATGCTCAGTATTTTTCAGTCATTGCAGAACTTAACCCTGGTTACAATCATCCTCTAAGCATCTTGCATAATTCTTTGGTTCTGTACCAGTTCGTCTGCAAGTATCTGTTAGGCACAACATTATTTTAAATTTTAAAACACAGCAGCATGAATTACCTAAACAAACAGCTTTTTCTGGTGTCTTCTTATACTGTTGGAAAACTTAAAGCTTTCCTTTCTAACGCTGAATAGAAACTGAATAGCAATTTGAGCTCGCAAGAGAAGGTACGCCTATCTCTGTTCTCTTCACCAGAACCCTGACTTTTTACCTAACTTACTCACAAAAAGAATAACTTTATGATTTAGTAATATATATGGCTAATTTGCACTAAGTAAACTACATTCATTTGTGCTAGCTCACTAAAAGTTGGGGTTTTTTAACTCACTGAAGCAAAAGTGCAACAGTTCAGCTGAATCCTAGGCAGACATTTTTTAAGCAGGGAATATTTTTTTTTCCTTACAATTTTCTCTGTCTTCAACTTTTAAAACAATTTTTCAGTAGTTTGCCAAGGTTTGAAGGCAGGTGAAGTGTCTGGATTTATGTACTGAACTAACTTTATACTTGAACTCACTGTAAAATAGCCTCTGATGTTTTTGTGGCTAACAGGACTTGGTATATGCTGTTTATACTGCAGAAATGACTGGGTTTTAATGGGTGTCTTACAGCAACATGGTTGAACACAGCTCTTCACAAACCATCTAGAATTTGCACTGCCTTCCCCACACAGGCACTAGTAACGTGTTGAAGTGTCTCAACCACAACAATGGCCAAAGTTGCTGTTGAGAGTTCATTTTCCATGGCCGTGTTAATTAGTGGGCCTGTCTGAGTGTGGCTACACGTAACCTTCTCACCAGCTGTTGAAACACCTGTATGCTGTGCACCTCTCCCTTAACTGCCATCACAGATCTGGGGAACAAATGCATTGCATAGTAGCTGTGGGTACTAAACCATAGTGTCACATATATGCATGTGCAGAACAAATGTATAGCACTTGCATAGCATCAGTGCTGCTGTGCCTGACTGCTAAATTGTACTTGCACCAGTGAATGACATGCCCTGGTTGCTTTGCCCAGTAACCGGTCCTGCCCTACCCACAAAAACACATACACGTAGGCTGAAGGGTTGGGGATGGGTCCCCATAGCACTGTGTACGTGTTGAAAAATGCTACCAACTGCTCCACTCCGTTTCTGTTGCTGGACACATTGACAGATCAGGATGCTACAACTGAGGAGGACATCTTCTTGCTTATTGTTTGGTTGGTAGCTCTTGGCATAATTTATAACACTCTGGATCATTTTTATGGAGCTTCATGTAGCAGCTAAAATGTTACCAAAGCCGTGGGCTGGCAGGAGATGTTTTCTGTTGGGATGTTGCAGGTGGGATCTCACCTCTAGCCCCATGCGGCACTTGGAGGTAGAGAGGAATGGTCAGAGCTAGCTCTGCCAGCAAAGGGGGGGCAGTGGCACCATGGGGCTGCTCCAGAAACAGCTGCATCCAAACAACTGGTCTGGATGTCCTTTTGGCACAAGGGCCAAGTGCTCCCAAACCTCAAGTGCACCCCAAAGAGCTTGTTACAGGTGGGCAGCCATGACAACATGGGGATGCATGTCCGAAATGGTGGGAGCACTTGCACGTGCGAGGATGTGTACGCTGCAGGCGTGGAGGAGCAAATGTCGCTGCTGGGATCGGTGGGATCCTGGAGTACAGGCAGGGCTGCAGCATGAACACAGCCTCCAGGCCAAACCCTGCTCTCGTTGCAGTTCTTCTGCATTCAGCGATGCCAGGCGGAGACCCTGGCCCATGGTTATCCCGTGGCAAGGGCCTCGTGCGTTCAGGGAGTGTGTACTCGAGAGGCTAATCAGTTCTGTAAACTGTTCCAACAAGCCCTTCTCAGGCAACCTAAGTTTACTGTCATGCTGCTGCAGTCAGGGTGCATCTCTGTCAAACTGCATTTGCTACAGGGGTGCATTAGCTTTTCCTTTGCTTTTCCTTTGTGCGGAGGAGTCGGAGGATGCGTTCATTTTTTGTTAGTTCTGCTGGCAGTTCGTTTGCCTGGAACAAAAAACCTTCAGGTTAGCAAAAATGAATAAGTATTTCCAAATCACAGTTTAAAAGCATTAAGCTCTAAAGAAGATGGTACTGGGAATTATAATGACATGCTTATTCCACTATTGTCCCCACCATTGTTGAAGATAACTTCAGAAGTCACCCAAATAGTGTACAAGTCTCACTTAAATCTTCAAAATACTCCTAGAATGGGATTTGAGTGGTCAGTTTATTTTGTGCTGACTGTCCAAGCTACACAGTGTCCTTTGGGCTCCCTATGCTTAAAATTAGAAGAGAACATAGGTGGTGATTTTTTGGGGGAGATGAGGCAAGTCTTTCACTACCAAAGCCCATAAAAATCCAAGGAAAGACTTTAATTGTTGTGAAACAGTCAGTGCTATTCCATAGGATTGGTAATAGAACATCAGAGTTTGGTCTGCTATATTTATTGAATACAATTTTGATAACATAAAGTATTTATAATGAAGTTACTTCTGAGAATCAGTATGTCTGTCCTGCAAATGTACTCTGTGATGCCAAATTGCAGGTTATTAAAAAAAAATCAGTAGGAGAGGTTTCAGCCACAGACTTTCTCACACTGCACATCCTCCTGCTGCAAATCACCATCAGTAACAGGAAAATCTTGCACACTGGATGATAGTATCAAAACAAAATGCCTATTAACAGGAGCTATTGTATTTGAGGCATTAACTCTGCTGCCATCAAGTGGAATGATACAGAAATAACAGGGACAGATGTTCTATTAAATGACCAAAACATTTAGAAGGCATTTGCTGGATTACTTGTATTACAAATTTTCATTCACCCAATCATAAACTAGAAATAAATACGAGACCACCCATTCATAGCTTAACAAACTCAGCTAGATATCAAATACTAGCCGCAAATAGTTCATAAACACAACTCAGAGGAAGACATTTTCAGGGAACTTATCAAACATGTAATGTTTAAACACTTTACAGAATAAAACCAAGACAAGTTTTATGCAGAAACGTTGCTGCTGTAAAATGAATATGAATCTATTTCAGTAAACTATCAGATTTACAGTAAGATATGGAAAAGATGCATATAATTTGGGATATTTTTTGTATTAGCAATGTACTGACTCCTAACCAAGTTTTCTTACCAAAGGCACCCACATATACATTTCTCTTGCTGCAGAAATATCATCCTTAACACATCTCTCACGTGAGACACATATATAACTTATCAAAACCAGTAACGGATTTCTGTTTCCCTAAAATGCAACCTAGGTAGCCCAGGACTAGCTGTAGTTAGCAATTTAATCCGTGGTGCATGGTCTGGTTATTCTCAGACTGATGTAACTTCACAAGAACCACCATGCTTGTACACAGAAGTGAATGGACCAAAGAATGGTGCTTCAGGAGGGGATCAAGAGGTGACCACAGACCAACACAGAAACATGGGCTGCCACCTCCTCCATAGCACGCACGGCTCCGCCACTCGGTGCTCCGCACCTGCTCCTTGCCGGGGACGGTGTGCCAGGACATACCTTGTTCCTCAGGCACGGGTCCGCTCCTGCTTCCAGGAGCAGTGCCACTGTCCTCACATTGCCACTCAAGACAGCTGCGTGGAGAGCAGAGGTCCCGTTCTAGAAAATACCAATGGAGATGTTTGTACTCTGAATGGGAAGCAATCAAAAGGCAGTGAAACACAAATGTTTTGAAAGAACAAACCTCCGAACAAGAAAGAACTAACATGGAAGAGAATAGGTCACAAAGGTATAGGGTCTGATTTAGGGTGCTGGCAGGCTAGTGGGCTATGAAGGAGGTGATTTTAAATGCTTTAATAAAAATGAGAGTCAAGTTTACTTTACCACAGCAATATTTCCTTTTAAAAATTACCCTTGTCAATAGATTAGAGGTGAAATGAGCATAGCACTTGCTTCTGTCTGACAAAATCAGCCATTAGCAAGTGAAACAGAAGCACAAGCAGTAATGGAAACCATCTGTGCATTTTATCTTCCTTCTCTTATGATTAATGATCTCCATTTTAGACAGCTGAATGGCGATTTTTTTATGGCTGACCTTTTGTTTGTGGCTGCAAACTGACAGCTCAAATAAGTGTGGAAGCTATTTCATACTTGTACTTAACAACTAAGTTAATGCCACCTGGATTTTCAGGTACATCAAAATGACAGTTGCATGCACAAAGGCTACCAAATTATGTGATTTATAGGCACATAAAATCCGATCAACTATTAAAAAGCAGCTTTCAAATATCTGTTATTTTTCAAGTCACTTTTTGAATTCAGAGGAAAACATAATAGAGAATCTGCTTACAACAGATCTCTTAGGATACTATTTTGCTGACTAAATGCAATAGAGAGCACACTATAATGCTAGAAACTGCACCACCGAGAGCAATCCATTTACTGTAGAAATAAAATCAGATGATGAAAGGCAAGAGAATTCCTTCTATGACACAATGTGTTACCTCATTCCAAAAATCAAATTCACAGCTTCATTAGAAAAGATTCATTTGTGTGTAGCATTAAAGGCTAAGTAAGAAAATTTTATTTTTCTCTGATGTTTTTGGGCTCAAGCTCCTTATCACCTTCCACTGGCATAGTCATAAACGTCAGGTCTTTCATCAGACCCTTTGCCTTCTTGAGTTTCTGCCTAAAAATCTGTGTGTTTCACTACTAACCTTCAGCAGGCCAAGCGTGGGAGAGAATTTCAGCAACTCTTCTATCACATTGTTGTACCCTTTAATGGCGGCCTTCAGTAAAGCAGTCGTACCGTCCTTTAAAAGAGAGAGGAAGGTCTGTTCAGGTGTTACCAATGCTTTACCTGCGTTCCCCTCGCATGGAGGGAAACGCCAGCTCTCCCCCACACCTCTGAGAGGGGGGTTTCCTCTTCTCATCATCGTTGAGGTGGCACCTCCACAACATATGCTGCTGGTTTTAGGACAACTGCAGGATTGTTCCTCTGGCAGGTGAAAAATTGAGGGTAAAAAGAACTAGTGACATCATATATCACCTTCATCTCTCATTTAAAGGGACATTTCCAGTCCCTTATTCTGGGAGGTCCCTCCAGGAAGCTGTCCCAGACACAAAGGGAAAAGGGAGCCCATGGTGGGACTTCATAACCTGGCAAACAGACAAACTCTGGGGACACCAGGTCTCAATTCAGACAGACTTGCAGCCTCCCAAAAAGCAAGGAGGTGTTAAGCTGCAGACAGAACACAGGAAGGAATGCTACTCACATCCCGCGCGGCATCTCGCTCAGCTCCCCGGAGCAGCATTACTCGCACCACTTCGCTGTGACCCATCTGCGATGCAATCCACAAGGGTGCTGTCCCATCCTGCAAAGAAAATAAGACTGCTAAAGGTTTCACTGTGAGATCCTGTGCTCCCTGGTGTTTTACTGCCCAAGTCTGTCTACTGCAATGGACGTACATCAATTTCTCAATTAAATCCAGCATCGCAGACAGACATATGCAGAGTTCCTTCTAAAAGCACATGGGAGCTCAGTGTATCAAGTCAGAACTGCTCCAGTTGGGTAGAGCCACCCTTAGCTGCTTTCTCTTGCATAGTTGTCCTGAAATGTACAACACTGTGCGAACACTTAAAGCCCTCTTTGGCTTACCAGTTGTGCCTAAAATACATAGGGAAGTTCAAAATGTAAAGGCCAAAGGTATACTGGGAAGTTCAAAATCTAGGTGGCTAGACATGACAGAAGATACAGGTAAATCTCAGCATGCATGGGCAGCTTCTGCAGCTGGGTCTCTGTACATATGGAGTTGTTTATAGAAGATGGGGAGTAATGCAAGATGATCACCAGCTTTCAGTGTTAAGTTACATTATCCACCCTCAGGGAATCTGTTAAAAACATCTTGCCTTACAGAGATGGTAAGTATGTCACAAATTTTATCTTCAAGCATTCTGCTGGAAAACAGGGCAATTATCAAGGAATCCAGTGTTTGGAAAAATTGTCCTATGCTGTCATTATTTGGGCAGAAAACCTCAGGGAAAAAAAATACACATTCAGAAACAAACTAAAATTTGTGATGGATTTCCATCCCAAAGTCAAAGGTGAGTTCAATAACTAGAAGTGTTTCTCACTGCATTTAGAATTCAGTTCTGTGCCTTTTCCTCCTTTTGCTTCTAAATGGCTGGATCCTCCAGACTGCAGGAGGACTCCAGTGGTTATGTGGTGCCAAACTGATTCTTGTGGTCCTTTAACAAAAGGCTTTGCCTGTATGAACTTCAACATAAAAGTGAGGCTTCACATAGCAGGGTGCCTGCTTCTGCCTTCAGCGCTTGCCAGTTCCCCTCGCCACCCTCAGCAGCCTGAAGACTTGGCAGGAAACAGGAAGACTAAATATACTGGGGCTTCCAAAAGAGCCTTAATGAGAAGTTTCAGAGGAAAATGGCTTTTTACTTTAAATAAAGTATTTCCACCTTGACCAAAGAAGCAATCTCTCTCCTCAGTGCCAAGTGAAGATTCATATGACTTGCTTGTGCAAACAAATAAAAACATTGTTGAAGCAGTTCCCTGCTTTCTATGGGCTAGTGACTTAATCCGTTGGAGGAAACAGAAAAGTCATTTCTGCCTTTGATATAATATTCCGGGCTTCCCTTTTTCTGATTCTGAGAAAGAGCAAATGCACATCCTGAGATTTTCAGTCTTCTCAAATGGTGAGGAACAGGATCTTTACCCATTCTTGTGTAATTTCTCTATAAATTAACTCATTGAAATTAGTGACTGACCTCATTCTAGTGCATATTCTGTTAATACAAAGAGAGTTCTTTGTGATTCAAAAATAACAGAGGCTGTCTTGTACACAGCATATGTGATGTTAGTGTGACAGCAAAAACTGTCCCTCTCCAATTTATAGTGTTTCCCCTACAAGTAAGCTGACATTTCATATTTTTTTTCTAATCTCCCCCCACCAGAGGGCTCTAGAAAATAGCAGTAGGGATGCTGGAAAAGTCTATAAAACTTGGAAAATATCTGAGAGCAGCCTACATGATTTAATCTGCATGAAGATCCAATGCTGTGCAAATCCACTCTTCTGTTTAAACAAGAAATGCAAGCCTAAGCACAGCATGGGGAATATGGCAGATTTCTTTTACTCACAGTGAAGTTTATAAGAACAACTCTTATTTTCAGGTATGAATGAAAAGAAGAAGAAGGAAATACAAGTGTTGGGCAACATCACTGTTACCACTAACTGTCCTTAACAGTATTGCAGTTAGACATCTTCCTCAGTATCTTAGATACAGGCTAGAGGCAAAAATACATTGTGAGAAAGAGTGACTGTCTTGGAGGACAACCTGAAGAGAAGAAAGATGATGAAGCTGATGTTGGGCTCACATTGACTATTGTCAGTTTCTCTCTCTAAAGCAAACAGCATCTAACAGGCAGGTTTATGCCAACACATATAGTGTTTATATGGAGTAGATGAGATTTCTGTCCATTTTTATATTGGTGTATGGTGCAAAAGAGATATTACATTGTACTAAGAGGCCACATGAGAATTCCTGTGTAAACAGATATTAGGGCTTGGAGGTGATTCAGGAAGAAAGTGAGAACAGGGAAAGATGCAGTTCAAAACTACTTTCCTTGTCCTTCTGCCCACCCAGCAGTGTCCAGACCATTACATTCCTGGAACAATGTTAAATATCCCTATGTTTTTAAGGTGTGCTTATTTCTGTATTCAATTACAAGCTGATATATATGGACTACATCTCGTCATATCCAGCAGCTGGCAGTTCCAAACATACTCTGACCGAAATTTCTGATGTTTTCTCTCACCCATTAACTAACAACTTTGCTCTGCAGCTTGCTTTGCAGCTTTCAATCTCAATGTTTGCTTGTGGCTTGGAGTTTTAGAAGGTGCCAGATTGGGGTGGGAGGTGAAATACCCCTTGAATTCCCAGTAAGGACTTCCAGGGACAGAGAGCCCCTACTCTAAGGCTACTTGGTGTCATGTCCTCCACTGTTCTGCCTATCAGTCCACTTGCACTACTACACCAGCTGAACTCTTGCTAATAAGAAATTGCTTGCTGGTCGGAAGTCTACACTCTATACAGGTTTACTGGCTTGCATATATGTGTGATTACATATCATGTGTTAAGAAAAACAGATTAATTTCCAGAGTATTTTGAATCTGCTTAGCCTGTCAGGCTAAAGCCTGCTGGGACACAGGCTGCCAAAAGAGACTATAAAATTCATTGGCAAATAATCTCGCTTTGTTTTTCAGTTGGAGAAGCAAAGAAACATCTCCTGCACCAGGCTTCAGACACTGCTCCCAGCTCTGTCTAGACAAAAAGATGACAAAAGAATTTCTGCCTGGCTCCACAGTGTCAGAAAGAACAGAAGGAGGCTAAATCCCAAGAGAAATGACATTGCCAAGGAAGAAACTTGTCAGGAAGCTTCACTAGCTGTCTTGTCAGAGCTGTGCTAAAGAACCTGCACACAGACAGCCAGCACCATCTGAGATGCTCTACAGTGGGACTGGGAGATGGGGCATAAGACCAAAGGGGAATTGGTACCCACTGCAGCAGCAGGAGGAGACATACAGGGCAGATACACATGCTCAGGTAGATGAATTCAGCCCTCAAATTCACCAAGTAGAGAGGAAAACCCAGATACCATGAGGAAGGAGAAGCATGAACTCACACCTGGCACTCTGGAGTGGTGGCCAGCCCTGTGTTTGATGTTATGTTGCTTAGAAAAGTTTCCTACAGCAGTGGGAGCAGTGTAGTTTGTAACTGACAGTGAGAGTCATCTGGCATCAAAACTGCCCCATCTAGAGCTACATGCCTCATGACCAGCATGCCACCTTCGAACAAAGTACAAATTTGTTTGTTAGTAAGAAAGAGACTGAAGTCCATCCAACCATTACTTTACTAATTAAACAGTAAAAATGTTCCATGTGTTAAGGAAATGTTTCAGGTTACAGTGGGCCCAAATACAAATGCCACGGACTTATCCAGGCATAATCTTAGCAGGGATCGGAGGTACCCTGAAGCAAAATAAGCCCGTATTGCCGGAGATGAAACAGAGCGATGAGGAACATTGACACAGAGTCAAGTCTTTGCCTCAACTAAGATTTAAAAATGCCTCATGAAACACCGTGTTGTCGAAATTGGATTAGAGAGCTAAAAAAATAATGTCAGAAAGAATTAGCTGGAGCATTATAATTATGGTTAGCAGAATGCAGTTTTTATGGCAACATGGTTCAGCTAAATCTAAGGCTCCCCAACTCTGTTTTGACCAACTCAAAAGACATTAATGCATACCTTGGTCTATCCTTCTACACTGATCTTTTAGACTGTGTTAATTAACAGCTTTGAACATTTCTTAATTTTGATCTTGGGAGACAGCGTGGAGGCAGCCTAGGAGCAGCTGAAGCATCAGCCCAGGGAGCAGCTGCCTGCACAGTTCTGGTGTTTGAGAGGTGGGGGAAGAGGCAGCAGGAAAATTACTTTGGTTTGGGCACATAAAATACTAATCCAGTTTCCTTACACTACAGGAGCAGCAAGGAGGCTATGCAGACCTACAGATGCAGCAGAAGTCATATAGATCAATCTCTGCTGCCAGGCTATGATTTGTCAGGCTTTTGGTGTAGATGAAAGGAAATACTGAAAATACCTGGCAAAGCTTATCACAAACCACATTGTCCACTGTTATTAGAGTTTTCACATTAATTTGTTCTCACCTGCTGACTTTTTACTTGCTGCAGTCAGTGATCATAGCCACCTGGCAGCCATATATGATGGATTGCAAGGACAAGACCTTATCCCATCAATTTAAAATGTGCAGTGAAGACCCAGGACAGCTACCTTGCCTGCAGGGTTTCAGCAGACCACAGGGGTGGCTCTCTCAAAGTAGGTAAAGATTCCTGGGAAGCCTTGTCTCTAACCAGACATTTCTACGTGCTGGGAATAGAGCTAGCTGTGCAACTCCCACATCTGGCTACTCAAAGCAGCATCTAAATGTGCTGTTGAAGCACTGATTTTAGAGTCAAGAAACAGCTAAACAATTAAGGAACACTTTTTTTGGGAAACCAAGACAGCTTTTATGTATGTCTCTGTGCACCATGTATGCTTACATATCCCATAGTTTAACACCTTGGAAGTCTTTTGCACCCTCACCAGCACACACTGATGCAAGGTGGATCCAGCCCTTAGCCCCCTGGAAGGGACCTCTGAACCAGAAACAAATCTAGCTCATACATACTATTTAAAGATCAAACAGCAGCCCCACTACCTACAGAGGAGCTAATTTCATGCTTACGGTTGCCACTGGCTGTATATGTTTGCAGGATGAGGCCCACCGGAGTAACCAGCTGGAAAGGGGGACGGCAAAGCTTTCCACAATTATCAAGAACTTCCAGAGATGAAGGTAACGCTCATGCTTGAGTTTCAGAGTGCACAGGGATGACACAAAGTAAAACTGAGGAAAGTAAAACTAAAAGTAAAAGCATTTGTCAAAGATCAGCTTCAACACTGAAGCCATGGTCCTGAAGGCCTGGTGATTTCAATATACCAGATTTAAGTACTGTCTCCCACTGGAGCTCCCAGATTTTCAAAAGCTTTTCCAAGGAGTTCCAAGAGAGCACAAGGATGTGGTATGCTGTGTAGACCTTCACAAGTAACTTAGTACAACAGAAGCCGATCAGTAGTTGTAAGAGGTAGTGCAAAGCCCTTACATCAACATTATATATAGCTAGAGGGTTTTATTTTGATTTAGTTTGGTCCTTGGCCCAAACATGCATGTGGCTCAAACCTGTTCAAAGGATCAGTTAGAGATTGGATCTGCTTTAGGATGTAAGTCCAACTGGTGCAGACCTAGAAGAAAGCTTCCAGTTTTACTTCTTCCAGAAACGATCTAGTTTGCATGCAACCTAGAAATGACTAGGGTACTAATACACGAATGCAGTCACAGCTACAATCTGCCTTCCAGGGAATCACCTCCATGGGAACCTGGTGCCCAGAGAAAATTCCAGTGATAATTTGTTATAACTGTAAAAAATTAGACTCCAGCTCTGCCCTGAAGCATTGAGCTCACCTGCCGTGGCTGGTTAACCTTTGCTCCTGAAGAAAGCAGCAATCGGATGACATCTAGATAGCCTCCTTGTGCTGCCAGGAAAATTGCAGAAGCTCCGTCCTAAGAACAAATATATCCAGCTTACACTGTGTTGAAATTGTGACATTTTTCCACACAAAATCAAACCAAACTGATTCAAGTTCTCGTTCTTAAGCCATTATGCCATGTAACAGCAGATATACAGCCATGCTCAAGAAAGAATTATCAAAATCCAAAGTCTAGTACATAACAAACTATGGTAACATTTTCATTCAGTATGCACAAGTACTGGCTCCCATCATGTATCAAACCGAACATTAAATCCTGGGTCTGGAATAGTAAGAGTCCAGTTCTTTGAAGCAGTGATCTACATAACTAGAAATTCACTCCTGTACAGCAATATAGGCTCATTTAGGTTAATTTAGCTTTTATATGTACATGCAGAAGTGTTCTGCTACTGTTTCACATGATGAAAACGTGTTCAAGTACTTCGCAGGGCTGGAGGCTCCAGCACTGAATTCTGCCCTTGAGGCTGAAGAAGTGAGTACTGTGCCACACTACTCTGCCACCCCCGCAAATACCATGCCACTGCTCTGGCACATCTTGCAGAAGATGCTGTGCAAGACAGACTATCTGAGAGCCCTGTCAGAAAACAACATTTTCCTGCAAAAAGCTTGTGAAACAACAAATTGTGAACAATTATGGGATTTTCTTTTCCCTTAACATGTCTTTCATTGCAGATGTTCTCAGAATTTTACTTCACAGAAACTTCTTCCTTAGGAAAAGAATTTAAAAATCATATGTCATTAATTTTTTTTGATGAAAAATTTTCAAACAGTGTTATAGTCCATCCAACCAACTAGAAGTGGAAATCTGCATGGAGGGTGGGTCAGGTGTTTACTCATCCTGTATCCACAGCACTCAGTACAGAGCATGCGAGGGCAAGTTCTCCCAGGAGGTGAGACTCTTTCAGTCTAAATCAAGACATGAATGAACTCCTTCACTACATCGCAGATGTGCAAGTACACATCCCATGACAACTCATGCATATACTTATCACAAAATACAGGGCATTTTAGTGGAAGCCTGTTGTTGACCTTGTCGGCATATCACTATGTTGGGACCGAAGGCTATTGTCTGCCAAGAGATACCACTTATCTGCTCCTCTTCCTGCAAAGCTCAGCACAGACTTGGCGAAGCATGAGATGAATACAGTGCCCCAGGGACTGAATCTAGAATGTTTGACCTTGATTTCAAGACAAATATCCTGGTAAACAAAAGAGGTGTCTGCTGGCACTACAAATGCACAGCCCTGGGCCCTCTGAGGGGCTGTTTTCTCTGGTTGCTCTGTAAGTACACAAAACATGGTGAAGGTATCAGGTCCTTTGCAGGCTTCCTCCAGAGACAGGTATAGTGAGAACATTTCAATTTAGAAAGTAAACAAAGTTGTGCAATATTAAAGGAGTTCTTTATTGTAGTGTCAATCAAGACGGAAAACCTTGGGTTCCCTATCACCTAACCATTTTAAAAATTATTGTTTTTTGTACTTGATTTGAATTCATGCTGTAATGAGAAAGCTGTTTTGAGGCAGCAACGTATTTCTGCAAGAAATGCTGTTTAGTTAGGTTATTCTCTTGTCTTCTCCTCTACCCTTCACCTGAGTCAATTTAAGATTACATCTATCTTGATGGTTTGGCAAGGACTACTGAAATGCATGCTCAAATTCCCTCTCATTTGGCTGCCTGCCAGCAAAGCTGCCAGCCAGATAACACTTTGCAAATACAGCTTGGAGATGTCCCACAAAAGGAGCCAGACTAATTCTCATTTTCAAGAGATTGTGCTCTTATTTTACTAAGCAGCTACTTCTGACTGGTTTTGCCCAATGACTGTAAACAATAAAAATATGTCTCTAAATCCAATTGCAAATATTGTTCATTTCCAGGAGAGAAAACAAGGAAGTTATTTTACTGCCTTCACTTCTAGGTAAGTGTCTGCAGGTGTGGCAGCATGGCTATTTTTAAACCAAGTGGTAACCCCCAGGGTTACCGTGCAGAGGTATGAATCATTGTCCTCAGATTAGAAAGAAATCACTGTCTGCACAGCAGCAAGGGTGGGACACCCTTCTTTATAAATGCGGGGTGAGGGTGGCACAGAGGTGTGGACCCCCTGTGTGACCAGTGCACAGCCCCCATTGTGCTGGTGGCTTCCCCAGTCATCAGCCCTTGGCTCCCACGCACACTCATGGGGGCTGAGTGCAACAGCATCCTGCAGATCCAAACTCCCTGGAAATGGCTGAAAAAAATCATATATCCCTGAGGAGTGACTTCCTTTTTGTGA